CCCGGCCGCCCCCGGGAGGCCCCGGGGGCCGTGGCGGCGGCCCAGCCCCTGCACCTGGCGGAGCGCCGCTGCTGGCTCCTCTTCACGCACTTCATGAGGCAGCAGGTGAGGAAGGCCATGGACATGAGCAGGATGATGGCACAGCTGACGATGGAGGCGATCACGGCCACCTTGAAGCCGAAGGTCTCATAGGGCGGCACGGCTGCGAGGGAGACAAGGCCAGCTCCTGGGCGCAGCTCACCCAGACCCGCCGGGTCCAGCTGTGGACAGGCCCAGCCCGCCCTCAGCGAGGCCTGTTCTGCGGGGGAGGCAGGAAGGCACTGGTGGCTGAGGCGAAGGTCTGTGCAAATGGTTGTAGGGGTGGGACTTCAGGGAAGACTGCCCCCAAAGAAGGGGTGTTTGAGCAGGGTTTTGGAGGGTGTGTAGGAGTTCATGGTGGCACACTGGGAGAAGCTCAGACAGGGAGTTCAGCAATGGCCCTCCTGGTTCCCACCCACTGCGGCCTGGGCCCCTGAGACCAGATGACAGCAGATGGCCCATGGTCTGTTGTCACAATGCCCCAAGCTGGCAAAACCCTTCAGGGGCCTACGTATCTTCTCAGGTCACTTTCCAGGAAGACACAAAAGCAAGTAAAATGTCTGTGTTTGGGGTTAAAGGCCCTTCACCACATATCAGCTAGTGACCTCAACTATGCCCCAAGAACTGGTTCTATCAGCTTCTAAAGGATGTTCTGGGAAGACAGGGCCTGGGATCCTAATTTGAGCAACACCACATACTCACACCCATGCCGGACACTGCTCACCTCCCCTAGTCCCAATCCCCTGCCCTGGCTGGACAGTGGCCATTCACAAAGAAGACTACATCTCCCAGCCTCCCTTGCAGCTGCCTGTGGTCACATGACTGTGCTCTGTCCAGTGGGGGCGAGGGGAAGGGGACTGGGACAACTTCTGAGAGGCTTCCTTCCCTGCCCCTCACCCAGAACAACTGCCTAGAACACAGTTGCTGCCATCCTGGATCACGCAGTTGAGGTCATGCCCAATAGTGCCACAACATGGAAGGGGCCTGGTTCTCCAACATGGGGTGCCATCTGAGCCTAGGACTGCCCACCTGAGGGGCCACAGCAAGAGAGAGCTCCATCTCAGTTAACCACTGTTGTCTCGGGTTTTCTGTCTCTTGGTATCGAATCCTGACAGACACCATCCTTCTCAGGGATTCACTCAGCACACAAGTATTTTAAAGGCTCTGAGAAGTCCTGCAGCCTATTAATCCAGCCTTTTCCAAACTGTTTTGACTACGGAGCCCTTTGCAATGCACAACACACATTAACACAATACACGTGGCCTCACTTTGGAAAATGCTGTGCTGGGTATTATCCTCCAACACCCTGTACAACAGATATGACGAGAAAAACATTTCCTCCCCCAGACTGGGGCCCCAGGGCTGGGCACATCCTGGCCCTTGGTGTCCCCAGTTCTAGAATTCCTGGCACACAGAATATCCTACTAAAGTTTGCTGTATGTGTGCATGAAAGAATGAACAAATGAATGAACCTAACTTCCCACCCTACAGATGACAAAGCGCTAGCTTGGACAGCATAAGTAACCTCTTGGAGGTGACAGGCCGAGTCAGTGGCAGAGTGAGGATTCCGGCTACCTGTCTGGACATGAATCCACACGGCGGACATGGAGCCCTGAGGGGCCACCAGCTGCTGTCTAGCCACCAGCCCTGGGATCAGGACCCTACACAGAGGCCCTGCCGGCTGGCCACCCACCACACCTCCTCCATGGACACTCATACCATCCACATGATGGGATCAGCACCCCCCAGGGCAGCTGTTGAGCTGGGAGTGGCTCAGGGGGAGTGGGTCTCACCCTTGCACACGGGGGTCCCTGAAGACCACTCGGCGACACTCCCCTTCCAGGCACAGGTGAGGAGGCCGGACCCCACCATCTGGTGGCCTGAGGGGCAGTGGAACACAATGACAGTCCCCACAGAAGCGCCATCACCACGAAGGAGTTGGAGGGTGCCCTGCAGGGGTGGCTGCACTTGTGCACACGTGCCTAGGGAGAGAGGAAAGACGGCATGAGGACCCCACCCTGGAGGGCAGGGGCTGGGCTATAGCCCCCACCTGGGGTGGACGCCGCTGCCCCAACAGCCACATGATGCTCTAGGGAAGGTCTCACGGCCACCCAGACCGTGGTGGGAGTGGCGTCCATGTGGTCAGTGTCCTGGGGACAAACATGGAGCCGATCCCTACATTAAGTGAACTCCAGATGTTCTGAAGACCATGGTGCTGAGAAACAAAACACGTGTCGAGGACAGCCAAAGCAAACACACAATTATTATCCAAGCGCAGCTCCAACAGCAGGATCGAGAGAAACCGGAAGGGGAGAGATCGACGGATGTGACTGCATGAAAGGTAAAAAGCAAAAGTTGTTGTTACTCCCGGATAATTGAAAAACAAACATAAACTCAGATGAAAAAATTAGGAACAGACATTTGGAGAACATAAGACAAAGGTCCTACACCCTTAATTTATAAAGACCTTACACAGCAAGAAAAGCCGAACATCCAAATAACGGAATGGACAAATGTGTGAACAAGCAATTCACAGAAGAGATGTAAGTGGCCCACAGACATGAAGGGAATTAGCGTGTCCACACGCTAGTTCCAGCGAGTGTGCATCTTTCACCCCTCAACTGGACAAAGAGGAAAAGCAAAAAGACCATGACCAGAGTCAGCGAGGGCTGGCAGCCACTCCTCCAAACGTTTCTGGACCAAGCTGGTAAAATGCATTAAGAGCCTTATGCTGTGCAGCGTCTGAGAATTTAGCTAAAGGAGATAATTATGAATCCGCCACCAGGATTTCTATGCTGGGGTGTTCGCCTCAGGGCCATACCAATGGTGCGAGGTTGGAAACCACCCAGGTCTCCAGCCATGGGGCAGGCGCATTAATCCAGGCACAGCCTGATCATGATGCCAGCAGGACTGTCCCACAGTGTTACCACAACGTCCTTATGTGAGGACACGGAGAGACGCTCTGGTAAAGCAGCAATCACCAGCATTTTCATAAAATAATAATGACAAGAGCTGGCACTTACACGGAACTTACTGTGCACTGGATGCTGCTCGGCACACTTTACGCACAGTAACTCATGGGTCCACACGGCACCTGCCAAGGGAGAACCACCATTCTCCCCACTTGACAGGTGAGCAAATCGAGGCACAGGGCAGGTAAGTCACTTCCCCAGGTCACACAGCTCCTATGTTGCAAGGTGGAGACTCACAACCAGGACAGGTAACTCTGGCCCACCTTCTCAACACATGCATGCACACACACACACGGAGACACACATGCACACACATGCAGACACATCATTTGCTCTGTGTGTTTGGCTTTCCTTGCTCAGCATAATGCACAGAAGAGGTGCCACACTGTGTGTGTGGTGTGGAAATTAATGAGAGAAACCTTAACTAAGTTGTACTCAGGAAAGCCTGCAGGGGGAGCCCTCACCCCCATCACATAACGTCAACTGCTCCAAACAGGAAGAGACAGACTTGCACGGCAGGCAGGAAGTACAACTACTTTACTACTGAAGGAAGACTTCTCTCCCCTCCTGGCAACAGCCCAGGCAATCAGACACACCACAGCTCAGCCAATCAGACACGCCACAGCTCGGCCAATGAGAAGCTGTTGCCGCCCTGAACTGTCACTTTCCTCCAATGGACTTTCCCTCGTTCTCCAGATTTGCCTATGGTTTGCCATAGCATGCACATCCTGAATTGCAATTCTTTTGGCTATTCCCGAATAAACTCATTTTGAGATCAAATAACTCAAATTTGCTTTTTAAGTTGACAGTGGGCAGCCGTCCCCATTTACCGTGGAGTGGAGCCCCGTTGTACGGATGGCCCTGTTTGCTTCCCTGTTCCCTGCTGACGAGCGTGTGAGTGTTCCAGAATGCGGAACGAAGCTGCTACAGATGTTCCTCCACATGCCTCCTGGTGCCGAGTGAAGAGGCTCTGCCTTCTGCTTTTCTGGAATTTTCCGATTTTGAGCACTGACGGTGTACTACTAGCGCGTGAAGGCAGAGTGGTTAGTCTCAAAGAACAGAGAGACTGGTCGTCTGGCCGGTGCCCGCGGCAACGCTGACCCAGAGGCAGCCTCGAGCTGAAGGAGCCACTGCGCACTTCTGTGGGGGCCTCAGCGCCCGTGCCCATCCTAATGCACAGAGAGGCCAAGGCGGGAGCAACGAGTGGGGGACAAGGACAGAAGCCGGCTCTGCCCAGGCTGAGGATCCCATTACTCCACGCAGACACGAGACAACCCTTCGCTTGTCCTCCGCGCGAGGCCTCCCGCCAGGACTGTCCCCTGCGCGCCAGGCACAGATGCCCTGCTGCCCGCTCTGCCCGCCACGACCTGGCCAAGCTCCTGTACTCCCAACCTGCTCGTCACGTCCTCCCCCATTTTCATTTGCTGTTAGGCACCAGGCCCTCCATCCTTCACTTGCTGCGGCCCCAAAGCTTGGAACCTCCTTGGACTCTTTCTCAGTCCACAACCAATTCACCAGCAAACCCTGTGGGCCCTGCTTTCAAAACACACACCCAGGACATCTCTAGCGGGCTAGAGAGTACCCCAAAATCCACACCCACCTGGAAGCAGCCATGCAGGGGCTCCACTGTGGAAGGCACAGAACCCTATTTCGTGCAGGCTGTGGGGACAGAGCATGCCCAGGAGTGCCCAGGCAGTGGCAGTCACCAGGAAGGGCCACACACCTGCACTCACACACCCGCGACAGCGCTTCACACGTCTGCACACAATCAGCCCCATCCAGAGGGGAAACCCAGGCTCGGGGAGGTCAAGGCACCTCTTGCCTGGCCACACTGGCCCTGATCCCCTTAGGGCGAGGGTGGTAACGGGGCAGCGGGAGAGCCAGGCTTCAGCCCCAGCCCCGCATTCTGCCATCGGGGAAGCTTAGGCTGCCCGAGCCCCTCGCTGTGGACAGGGATAGTGAGGGACAGTGTTCGGCTGTGCTCAGCCAAGCTCCATTTAGTCCACCCCAACTCTGCCCCACCAAGAACCCGGGGGCCTCACCACGTTGAAACGCTGGGGGCAGTGTGAGCCCAGGGGGCTCTTGTGGTTTGTGCACTTGAGGGGCTGACTTCTGGATCAGCACAAATACTGGGCGCCTAGTGGGTGCTTCACTGTGTTACAGCTCTACGAGGAAGGCTGTCCACCAGCACCTCACAGACGGGGAAACTGAGGCATGGCAAGGCTACATGACATGCCCAGGGTCACCGGGCAGGAAGGTGGTATGGGTGGAACTGGGCTGGGCCGTGGCCACCACAGAACCCATACGTCCCAGCCTCCCTGCAGCTGGGACGATTTGGGCCTCCGTCTGCAGTGTCCATCATCAGCGTCACTACCAACAGCAGCAATGCTGGTCTGACAGAAAGTTCTGGTCAAGAAGTGCCCCACATTCCTGACCTCACGCAGCACCCACAACCATCCACAGAGGACAGCAAGGAAGAAATCATTATTATTCTCATTTTAATACAAGGAAACCAAGCTCAGAGAGGTGGCTGAGCTGCCCAATGCCACAGATAGAGGGGGCAGCCAGGGGTGGACGCAGGGCTTAAGACTCTTAACAACAGAACTAAGGTGTGGGTATATGCAACATGCACGTAACAGAAAGTGTCTATCCTATATAAACAGCACTTACGTGTTAATAAGACATGACAAAAATCACAACAGAAAAGAATGGTAAATTAGAAAAGAAAAACAGATGGCCCCAAACCAGGGACAGGGCAATCAGTTAAGAAAGCTAACTAAATGGCGTCCACATCAGAAAGGAAGAGGCAAAACCTTCTATTAGATGACATGAGCTTGTATCCAGAAAATCCACAGGAATCTGCTCAAGATTATGGGAATGCAAGACCAACATGTGAAATCCACTGCATTTCAGGACGTGGCGAAGAGCAAACTGAAATGAAACCAAGAAAACAATTCCCGGGGCCGGCCCTGTGGCGTAGTGGTTAAGTTTGCGCACTCCACTTCGGCAGCCCGGGTTCGCGGTTCAGACCCCAGGCGTCGACCTGCACCACTCAGCAGCCATGCTGTGGCAGCGACCCACATACAAAATAGAGGAAGACTGGCATAGATGTTAGCTCAGGGCCAATCTTCCTCAAGCGAAAAAAAAAAGAAAACAATTCCTTTTACAAGAGCAAAGAGAAGAACAAATTACTTACGAATAAACTTAATAAAAGAAGTGCAGAACTTAAACTCTGAAAACTACAAAACTGATAGAAATTAAAGACCTAAATAAATGGAAAAACACCACATGCTCATGGGTCAGAAGACTTAACACTGTTCAGATGGCAACACCCCAATTGTGCTCAGATTCAACACGACCCCGTCAGAGCCCCAGCCCCCGCCTCTGCAGAAACTGAAAGCTGATGCTGAAATTCAGAAGGAAACGCAAAACACTAGAGTAGCCCAAACAGAAACAATCTTGAAAAAGAAGAACAAAGCTGGAGGGCTCTCACTTCCCCATTTCAAACCCCTCCACAGCTACAGTGATCAGCAGAGCGGTGCTGGCACCAGGACAGACACCAGGCCAGGGAGCAGAGTCGAGAGCCCAGAAATAAACTCATAGTCGCAGTCAGCTGATTTCAATAAGGCTGCCATTCGATGGGAACAGAACAGTTTCTCAACAATTGGTGTCGGGACAATGACCTCCACATGCAAAAGAATGAAGTCAGACCTCTCCCCACACCAGATACCAAGATTAACTCGAATGAATCAAAGACCTAAACATAAGAGCTAAAATTACAAAACTCTTACAAGAAAGCATAGGGATAAATGCTCCTGACCTTGGATTAGGCACGGGTTTCTTAGATAAGACAACAAAAGACAAACGAAAAGAAAAAAATAGGGGCCGGCCCTGTGGCATAGCAGTTAAGTGCACGAGCTCCACTTTGGCAGCCCCAAGGTTCACGGCTTTGGATCCCGGGCACGCACCAATGCACCGCTTGTCAGGCCATGCTGTGGTGGCGTCCCATATAAAGTGGAGGAAGGTGGGCACGGATGTTAGCCCAGGGCCAATCTTCCTCAGCAAAAAGAGGAGGCTCGGCATTGGATGTTAGCTCAGGGCTGATCTTCCTCACAAAAAAGAAAAGAAAAACATAAATAAACTGGATTTCATTAAAATTAAGGCCATCTGTGCTTCAAAGGACCTGATGGAGAAAGTAAAGAGACAACCCACAGAGCGGGAGGAAGTGTCTGCAAATCGTGTCTGACGAGGGAACTGTAACCAGAATGTATGAGTTATTACACAGAATTATAAAGACAATCCAGTTATAAATGGGCAAAGGATCTGAACAGACACTTCTCTAAAGACAGACCAGTGGCTGCCACAAGCTCACGAGAAGGTGCTCAGCATCATCGGCCTCCTGGGAAAGGATGTCCAATCCACCACGAGGTCCTGCTCTCCATCCAGCGTGCAGGCCACACCTGCGAAGGGCAGATGGTGACAGGTGCACCAGGATGTGGAGAAAGGAGCTGCAGGTGGGAACGTGAAACAGGGGCAGCTCCTCCAACAGTTACAGAGAATCACCACACGACGAAGCAACACCCTCCTCGCTCAATACCTGAGAAATGAACACACGTCCACAGGAAACTTGTATACAGTGTTCTCAGCCACACTATTCTTCTTCTTTTTTTCTTTTTGGTGAGGAAGATCAGCCTTGAGCTAACATCCGTGCCTATCTTCCTCCACTTTATGTGGGGCGCCGCCACAGCATGGCCTGACAAGCGGTGCGTCGGTGCGCGCCCGGGATCCAAACCCGGGCCGCCAGCAGCAGCAGAGTGCGTGCCCTTAACCGCTACACCACGGGGTCGGCCCCCTCAGCAGCGCTATTCTTGACAGCCAAAAAGTAGAGACAACCCAAGTGTCATCAGCTGATGAATGGATACATAAAACGTGGTCCATCCTCACAAGGGAACGTCCCTGGGCGATAAAAAGGAGTGAAGCCCAACACGCGTACCACGTGGGTGAACCTTGAGGACGTGATGCTCAGCGCGTGAAGCCAGTCACAAAACACCAGTGTGTGACTCCATTTACATGAAATGTCCAGAACAGGCAACTCCACAGGGACAGACAGCGGATCAGTGGTGGCCGGGGGCTGAGGGGAGAGGGGATGGGGAGTGACTGCTAAGGGCTTCGGGGCGTCTTCTTGGAGTGATGAAAACGTTCTAAAATTGACTGTGCTAGCTGCACAAATCTGTGAATGCACTAAAAGCCACTGAGTTGTACACGTTAACTGTATAATTTAGAGTGAATCGTGTGGTAGGTGAATTCTCTCTCAAAGGAGTTATAAAAATTTAGGGGAAACATTTACGTCAATCAAAGAAACACAAATTTGAAACCTAAGAGATTATTTTTGGCCCCTTAGCTTGGTTGAGATTAAAAAGACTAGCTTACCAGGTTGGTGGGGGTGCAGGGGGAGGGGTACATAACCCCTGGTGAGGAGGGCAGGGCGGGCCTGAGAGGCTGTCTGCCCTGCAGTAGCGGGCTGAGCTGGGAGCCCGGGGAGGCTGGGCTGGGAGAACGCAGTGCCCACCGTGTGCCCCAGATCTGGACATTTCCCGCCTACCCACGCTGGCCTCGGGTCATCTAGCGCTGAGTGGGACAGCAGGAGGCCAGCTCTGATGCCCGAGTCTGGGCCCTTAATTAACCAGCACGCTGTCTCCACAGGCACCAAAGTGGAGTGAATGAATGGATGAACGGATGAATGGATGGATGAATGGATGGCCTAACGGATGAGTTGTGGTCAGCGCTCCCCAGGAAGAACCTCTTTTCTTTTCCAGGATCCGTGGACCTGGACACATGCTGTCCTTCCGGCCAGGGAAGTGAATGTGAGGTTTTGGAACCAGGTAGACACGGCAGGGCAGCCACGGGGCGGCCACGGGGCCCCTTGCAGTGGGTCGCCAGGCAGCCCACACTTCCCAGTCCTCAATTTAGAGCTGCGACTTCTCCATTCTTCTGTGGCTAAGCACCTTCTTTTTCCTCAGCCCCATGTGGCCCTGGGGGAGGCAAGGCCCCATGGGGAGTGGGGTCAGCAAGGCTGAGAGCTCTGGCGGGGCTCGCGGCCGTCTGCCCAGCACCCACACCCGCGCCTGGTGAAAGAAAGGAGGAAGGGACAGACGCGTATTCATCCTTTAAAGATACAGCCGGGGTGTCCTCAAAAAGTAAGAAGCCTTGAGGGATGGCCAGAGATGGCGGGAGCTGTGAAGAAACAGGCCCAGGGAAACGTTAGGGGTACAATGGAGTCGGGGCGGGGGCATGGTTAAAAGTTGTTTCCACTCTGTGGCCTGTCTGACAAAATTAAAAATGTGGGGACAAAGCCTGGAGTGTCACTCTGAACACAGCTGACTGCCTGGGTGTGCCCCGCCCGCCGGCTCCAGATGGTGGCCGTCCCGCTCCCCCAGGGCCCAGCCCAGACCCCCAACCTGTGCTGAGCCTGCGCCACTGCACCAACGGCCCCGGCGGGGATGGTTCTTCTACCTGAGTCACAGGCGGGACGCAGGCCAGCTCTGTAGCCACACTTACCAGCTGGGTGACCTGGTCACCGCTGTGGGCCTGGGACCAACCCGTCAATGCGGCAGTGGACGGGCGGGGCGGGGCTGACGGAGATGACGCAGCCCCAGGCCCAGCAAGGACACCACCACTGCCCTCGTAGAAAGAGTGCCTGGGACAGGTGGGGGGAAACTGGCCGTCATCAGCCACATCCTGGGGGGCCGCTGCTTCTGCTGTGGCCATGGCAAGGGGGCCCGTCCTGAGACCAGCACGGCAGGTGGTGTCACCACCCACTGGGGTCACACACCTTAAAGGACAGAGTGGACCCCTGCCCAAGATGCCCACAGCCTGTCCTGCCTCCTGGAGCCTCCTAACGGCAGAAGGGTGAGGGGGACACCGCAGGAGGGGCCGCTCAGCACTGACCCGCGCACCTCAAACCAAGAATCGGGACAGGAGAAAGAGGAGCACAGGCCCCCCCAACTGGACAGCGGGGCGGGAGGGGCCCCAGAGACTCGAGGTGGGCGCTTCAAGTGCGGTCCTGGCCCCCTGCATTTCCAGGGGGCCAACCGGGGCCTCTCGCCCATGGGAGGAGGGGAGCCCCGCTCCCAGCACAGGGGTGTTGTGTGAACAGGTCTCCTTTGAAAGGAAACTGAAAGGTCTGCGGAGGTCGGCGGTGAAGAGGGGAGGGGAGTGGTGGGGGAGGGCAAGCCCTCGCCCGCCTGCGCCTGGGTGAGCATTACCTCCGGAACCTTCCCAGTGTGGAGGCAAAGGAGGGAAGCTGGGTGGGCGGGCTCTGCTGGGGACGCACCCTCTGCCCCAGGTCTGACCTGCTCCACCGCCACCAGCCAGGTCCTGGACCCAGTCCTCACTCTGCTCAGACTCAATTTCCCCACCTGCGAACAGGATGACCTGCCCCCCCCCCCAGGGCCACAGGAGGAGTGACCACCCGAGCAGGTCTCAGAGCAGTGCCCAGAGCCCAGGAACCCCTCCTACGAGGGGGCTTACTGCCTCATCCTGGTCCCCTGGTCCACAGGGTCCAGGACACCTTCACCCGCCCCTCCCCAGGCTCTGCCGGGGTCTCCTGCGTCCCCTCCCTGCGCCAGGAAAGCCATCAAACACTTCTCTGGGCTGAGCCCATTTGCCAGAGGAGTAAACTGAGGCCCACAGCCCTGGCCAAGGCCCCGGGTGGCTGCACCACCACAGACTTTTGCACAGCACTCGTGACACGCAGCCAGGGTGGGGCAGGGAGGCGGCACGGTGCCAGGGGGCCACGGGGGCTTCAGTCACATCTGCCCGGGGCCCCTCCCAGGGGTGTTCTGAGGAATTGCCAAGGCCTGGCAGATGGGCCAGCTGGCTCCAGCCACCACGTTCCCTGATCACCACGTACCTGGCCTCTGCTCAACCTTGCACTGCCCCCTCCCCAGGCTGGAGACCCCCAGACCCCCTCACTGCCCCCTCCCCAGCCTGGAGACCCCCAAACCCCTCACTGCCCCCTCCCTCCCCATACTTGGTGTCGAAGAGGAAATCCCACCTCTTCCCTCTCCTGCTGAAAACCCTCCCGGATGTCCAGTTGCCCTGGACGCCCTCCTAGGCCTGGGCCCCACAGGGGACACCCCGGCTGTCCCTTCCTCCCCAGACATAGACACTGCATTTCCCCAGCTCTTCCTCAGCTGGACCAACGCACACGTCAGCCGCGTGCATTTCTCCTCGGCACACTTTACGACTCGCTCCCTTTTACTATATGCAGATTAATCTCAAATGAGAGGAAAACAACAGAAAACACAAAAAATGAATGGATTTGATGCAAACAAAATACAAACCAAAGACAAATCCTCCGGGGCTCACATGACAGTGGAGGGCAGACCCGCCCATCAAGGCCACCTTGCACCGACAACCCTCCTCCCTCCCCAGCCCCTCCCCCACATCCCCCGCACACTAGGCGGGGCACAGCCCAACCTGGGTGCCCCGTCCTCCCAGCCTGCGCCTCCCCCAGACCGCCTAGCCAGCACCAGTGGGGTGAGAACAAGCTGGCTTGTTAATCTTTTATCTGGAACCTTGGACCACAGGCCTGGCCTCCTGGCCTCCTTCCTGGAGCCCACATGGCCCCCAAACCTGACCTCACCCGCTAGGGACCAGGTAAATAAGTTACCTTGTACACTGGTTGCAGCTGTGGACGAGGGGTACACTGGGAGAGGAAGGCAGGCAGCTGGACCTGGGTCCCTCTGCGACCAGAGTCACTTCCTCACTCTGAGCCTCAGTTCCCCAAATGGAAAGGGGAACCCTCAGGAGAAATTTCTTGGAGAGTTCAAAAGGTTGATGTGCACACACAGGTGCTCTGTGGAGAGTGGGGACAGCCACACGCAGGAGGCCCACAGGGAAGACACTCGCCCTCTCTGAGCCCGTCTCCTCTTCCTATGGAGGGTGGGCACAGGGTCAGAGCCCCTGCAGGCCTGGACTTTGGACAGAGTCCAGACCCGGGTCCCCCAGGACTCCCCTGACAGCAGGTCAGCTCACACGCACAAAATATGCATTCTCCTCCAGAAGAACCAGGCTAATTCCAAGCCAGGAAGAATGAGCCCCCAAATCTCTCAGGGGAGAACACGGAGGCTCCCGAGAGCCTCTCTCACCCAGCAGCTCTGCCTGGACCCTGGCAGGAGCCAGAGCTGGGGCTGGGCGCACACAGGCGGTGTCTGGATTCCCACCCACCCGCTCTGGGCCTCAGTCTCTCCTCTGTGAAGCGGCCCAGGCCGGCCGTGGGGCAGGGTTGCAGAGGGAAGCCAAGAGGATGCCCACGAGTGTGGTCCTCCCATTGCCCCCTTTCCGGTCCCCTCCTCCAAGGTCCTGGGGGGTACCTCCGGCTCCTGGAACCCTGCATTCCTGCTACCACAGGGCAGCGTTCCTGGACAATCTCCAGGATCAGGGAGTGCTGCTGGCGTGGCCCCGGGAGTAGGGCCCAGAGCTGCGGGGGTGGGATGGCGGCCCCCACGGTGGGCTGGGCACCCAGCCCCTCCCAGTCAGCTGCTGGACAAACACTTAAACCCCTGCTCTGAGCAGCCTCCCCCACCCACCCCTCACAGGCACGCATGGGAGATGAGGGAAGAACTCGGACCCCAGGACACGGTGTCCATCTGGCGGGACTTGCATACCTACTCCAGGAAGAGCACAGTAACGCACCCAATTCACACTGTTCGGGAAAACACACCCCCCAGTGCTATGTTTTAGAAAGTGCCAACCCATCTCCAAAAGACCCCCACACCCACCCTTCATTGCACAGCCCCCTAGAGAAAGACGGGCATCCATTTCACAGCCCAAGAGACTGGGGCACAGGGCAGGGGAGGGTGGGGTGTGGACGGCTTTACCCTGGAGCAAAGTGACCATGGCCAGGGTGGTGCACCGGGCCCTCCCTGGCTCCTCCGCCTGGCCTGTCCACAAGCCTGGGGGCAGGTATACAGTGCCCACCACTTAGCACATGGGGAAACTGAGGCACAGAGGCAGAGAGACGCACCCCAGGTCAGAAGGGGGTTCCAACCCCAAATTCCAAATTCCAGGGAAGGGATCACGTCTGGGAGGAGGCTGAGGTGCAGCAGGTCAGACGCAGGGCTGGGGCCAGGCCAGGGAGGCCCAAGGGAAGCTACTGGACTCTGAGACCCTCTTTCCCCCAGCAGAGTTCTCTGCAAACAGCCTTTTGTATGCAAACACTCCAGTGCCTCCCCCTCCCTGTCCCTGGCTGACCTCGGTAAGTCCCTGCACCTCCCCGGGCAGTGCTGCACAACCCTCCCCTTCACACACAGGGACAAAGCACCAAATTCGGGACGAGGCATCAGGCTGTCTGGGGAGTCAAAGGAAATGAACGCACCCCACCAGGCCAGGGGCAGGTCTCAGCGCCTCTGCTCCACTCCTCGAGGGTATCCCTGGGCCTGTTTCCCCATCTGGGAGGGAGCCGCCCCACCCTGCCCCCAGGGTGACAGGTGTCGTGTTTAAGCAGGACTGGCTGCACCCTAGGCGGTCACCTGGGTCAGCCCACCCCCTCCAGGCCCCGCTTCCACCCGCGCAGAGCAGAGCCTGCCTGGCCCGGGGCACAGGTGCGAGACCCTCAGGGGTCAGTGTCCACCACAGTGAGCCTCGGGGACATCAAGGCCCAGGGTCCAGGTCTGGCTGTTTCTAACAGGGTTAGATTTTAGGCGCATTCACGAAACAAAGCCAACATTCGAACCGCGGCTCCAAACGGCGTCTCCCACACCCCAGCCAGGGCACGAAGGTGAACCCTACTCAGAACATTCTGGCATCAAACACCTCAAGTAAGATAACAGCCAGCCACCCCTCCCTCCGGAGACCCCGGAGCCTCCCCCAGGGCTGGCTGCAGGGACGTCGGGCGGTCGCTCCTCCCAGGCTCAGTTTCCCCACCTGCGCGTGGGCTGGAGCGCCAGCAGGGTCGGAGCGCTCCCGCAGGGTGAGGCCGGTTCCGATTTCCCCACGTCCGCCCACGGCCCGGCGGAAAGGGGCGGCACCTGCGCGCCGCCGCCTGGTTTCGGGCCGCCCGCTGCCGGGCTTCGGCTCCGCCAGGGCGCCCGCTGGGCCCGCCGAGGGAGCGGGGACGTTCGTCCCGGGCGGTCTCCGGCTGTACGCGCCCCCGCCGGACTGTGCGCCACCCCCCGGGGCGCCCCGGCTCGGCTTCCCCGTCCGTGAAATGGGCGCAGAACCCCTCACCTGTGCGGTTCCCCGGGGAGGCCGTGGCGTCCCCCGCGCGCGCCCCGGGCCTCGCCCTACGACGGAGGGTCGCGGCCGCCCTGTGCATCCTGCGCGCTCGGCTGCCCTCGCCGGGGACTGCGGGGCGGGGCAGGGCAGCCGGACACGCCCCGGGGTCACGCCCCCAGGGCCACGCCCCCCAGGGTGCCTCCCTGCAGGCCTGGGGGCGGGGCCGGCCCCGCGGGAGACCGAACCCCCCCCAGGGGGTGAAGCCGCCCAGGCAGGAAGTCTCGCTCCAGGGCTTTGTGCAGGCGGTGCCCACCCACCCCCCCCCCACCCGTCAGTCACCGCTCTCCGCCCTCCGCCCTCCGACCCCTCCCCCAGGCCAGGTGTCCTCCGTGAGCAGCACATGTGGACCCACCGGTGTCACGCCCAGCCCTCCGAGGTGCTGTCGATGTTGTAGGTCCTCTCTGAGGGACCCCTGGGGTCTGGCCCAGGCCCCTGCACACACACCCGGGGACCCGCCCTGCCCTCTCCAGTCGAGCCCTCATGCCCAGCTCCCTCTGACCCTGCCCAGCCCAGGCAAGCACCTAGGAGGCTCTCAGACCACAGACTGGGGTCTGTGGACTGAGCTGGGGTGGCTCCTGAGCAGATGGGGTAAGCCATCCTGGCAGAGGGAAGAGCAGATGCAAAGGCCCTGAGGTCAGAATACGTGGAAGCTTCAGCCACAGCCAGAAGTGCAGTGTGGCCAGCCCAGGAAGTCTGGGAAGGTGGACCAGGTGGACAGGACTGCCTCTGGGAGGGCCTGGCAGGTGGCGGTGAAGAGGTGGGTGTTTTCCTGGGACCACAGAGCAGGGTTCCAGCAGGATAGCCCCTCCCACCTCTGCTTTCTGAGCCGGGTAGAAGCTGAGGTTAGTATATGTGAGGGGCCCTCCCCTCTCCTGGGCCAGGGTTGGTGTCACCCCTAATATCTGGTTCCCACTCGGGCTTATGGACCACACACGATGACTTTCTTCAATTCCCTTGATGTAAAACCAGGCACGTGTGTCCCATCTGCCACATCGGGCAGCCAGGTGAGTCTGCAGGGCCCACTGTGACCCCTGCCCTTTCCAGACCACACTCAGGGACCAGGACCCCAGAATTCCCTGCCAAATGGCCCTGAGCCCACCTCTGGGGCCTTGTGGCCTCCTCGCTGGGTCTGGCCCCCAGTGCGCACCGCTGTGCTGAGGGCAGCTGCCTGTAGGCGCATGGACAGGGCTGGGAGGGGAGGTCTGGGGCTGCCCTTGAATTGCAGGATGGAGCTGGTGGGAGCTGCCTGTGGGCTGCCCACACCACCACAGTCTGGACCAGGCCTCCAGGAGTGCAAAAATGGTGAATTCGAGCCTGGCCATTTACGGTGATGTCAACCTACAAAATCAGAAACCCATTTAAGAGGCAATGCGTTTATTTGGAATCAAAGAATTGGAATTCAGGGAGCACAGATTCAGGTAGACACCCAAATGGTGTCCCAAATAGAGGAGAGGGGCTCAGAGTTTTTATGGGAAAAAGGAAGGGAGAGGAAGTAAGTTGTATTAAGGAAGAGTTCGTGGGTGCTGGATGAGGTCAGGCTAGGTTTGCACTTCAGAGACTGGCTTGAGGTCCGATCATCAAGCAAAAGGCTAGACTTGTGCTTCAGTGACTGGTTAGCGATTGGTCATCAGCCAAGTCCAGTTCCATCAGTCCTTATAGACAGGATATTCTCGTCCCTGCTGACTTCTTGGAACGTTGGTGGTTTGGTTCAGGTGGTTTGGAAGATGAAGAACACAAGATGTGCGGGGCAGTTCCTCTGAAACGGCTGCTCCGGCTCTGTTTTAATGTGGCTCCACTCATGTCATCTTCCACGAGAGCGTGCTCCCTGGGGCTACCGTGACAAAGTGCCACAGACTGGTGCCTCAGGATGCAGAAGAATGTGGTCTCAGGGTTCTGGAGCTGGAAGTCTGAGATCAAGGTGTCGGCGGGCCACGCTCCCTCCGACGGCGCTAGGAAGGGTCTGCCCAGGCCTCTGCCCAGCTTCCAGTAGTTCCCCAGCTGTGGCAGCGTCACTCCCATCTTCAAGCACTGGTTTGTCCCTTTGTGCGTATCTGTCTGAGTCCAAATCTCCCCTTTCTATAGGGTCACCAGTCCTATTGGACGAGGGCCCCCCAAAGATCTCACTTAACTTGATTGTTTCTATAAAGGCCCTGTCTCCAAATAAGGTCTTGTTCTGAGGGGCTGAGGGTTAGGACTTCAGCATGTGAGTGTGGGGGACAGTCCAGCCCGTAACAGATGGTATCGGGGGAATGGCCCCTCTTCTTGGCAGCCTGTGCCGTGGTTACACATTCTGGGTGTTGAGGCACACAGTGTGGCCTCATCTGTACTGGTAGGGAGCTGGGGGTGGCCCGAGACTTCTGTCACAGTCACGGCTCAGAACACCACCACCGCCCAAGCCATCTTCAGGAGCAGCGGGAGACACTGGGGTTGGTTCTGGAGGAGGAACCGCAGCCGACAGGAACCGCGAACTGTGCCGCCCCGGCCTCCCCTCTACCTTTTCCAGGGCCTTTTGGAATGGCACGCTCCTGGAGAGCAGCGGAAACACCGACCACGTGCAGGGAGTGAAACTGAGGCCGGGCAGGGGAAGATGCTCAGCCCACTCCAGAAGACAGACCTTCTGGGCCACCCCTGCCCTGCCACCTCGCCCCCCATCCATGGCAGGAACTGCAGCTCCCACAGGCCTCCCACAGGCCTCCCCCGTGCCGGGCCTCACGTTCTCATCCGAGGGGTAGAGAAGGTCCTGCCACCCTCCTGCAGCAGGGAGACCGTGATGCCATCAAGGATGGAGCAGTGCCGGGAAGTGGGGCTGCACAGGCCCCGCCAGCACTGGACTTGCCCCCCGTCCCCCGACTCTCCCAGCTGCCGGGGACCCCAGGCTCTCCACGTCCCGGCCCAGACCGGGAGCAGTGCCTGGGCTATGCTGGGCTGGTGTCTCCTTGCCCTGATGCCTGGGCCTCCTCCTCCAGGAAGCCTTCCCTGATGCCCTGCCCGACAGAGCTGTCCCATGCTGCGTGTCCCCAAGGCCTGTGCCATGTCCATGAAGCAGAGAGGACACACAGCTTCCCAAGTGGAGGCAACGTGTGGGCAGCTGGCAGGGAGGCGAGGAGAACCCAGCACAGATGCCGGAGGAACTGATGGAAGCCTTGGCCTCTCTGCATTTGAGGGTCCAGCCCCAACCCCACTACTGCTCCTGTCTCCGTTTGCAACTGGGAACACAGCTTGTTGAGTGAATGGACTGGCGGGAAGGACCCAGGGAGGCTGGGGGTGGGTGTCTGAAAGCCCTGCGTCTCAGTGTTCCCATCCACAGAACGGGCTGACGCGCAGCCGGAGGTCTCGAGGGGATGGTGAGGGTCTGGCCTGGGCTCCTCTTCCCGCAGGACCTAGCTGAGGCTTCGCCTGCCCCAGGGAGACTTCCTCAACCCTGATCGCCTGACGCAGCATCCCCGGGCCCCGGTGGCCTCAGGGGGACTGTGCCTAACCCTGGTGGAAAGAGGGGTGGATATTGGTGTGTTTCCCTCGAATTGGATAATAACTGTAGAAATGTAAATTGCTTTTTGTTTTTCTTTAAATATTCCTCATTTTTGCTTCCAAGTCAATAGAAAAATGAGATTTTCATCCTAAAAACCTCTCATAAATGACGAAGTCCATTGCAAATTAAGAGTCAGAGAGCCGGGTGACCTCCAGGGCTTTATCTCTTTTTTTTCTTTTTTACCTTTTTAAATTAAAAGCAAGTGAAAAAAAAAAAAAAAGTAACCTGAGCTTGTAGTTCCAAGGAGCTGCATATCTGGGAGAAAAGAATTTTCCCCAAAATCTTTTCTGCCAGGCCCTGTGGCGCCCTCCACACACGCTGTCCTCCAGCCGGCCCACGGGAGGGTGAGAGCCCGTCCCTCCTGCACTGAGCCCCTGCCCGGAGCCCACACCCCACCAGCCGGCTCTGACCGCTGGGCTGTCCTCTCTGGGCCTCAGGCGGCCTGCACAGGCGAGGCTGGGCTTTCAGGAGGGAGACAGGGGAGGTGGCTTGGGGACATGCGCACCTGGGAGGAGAGAGGCCGCACTTCCCCAGGGGAGCCAGGTCTGGGGGAGCTGGGCTACCGGGCACAGGAGGGACAAAGCCTGACCACTGCTCCTGGGGCTCCTTCTCGGCCTCTGGGCGCCCCGACTGTGGGTTGTTGGTGCCTGCCTGGTGATCCTTCTCCGTGTTGTCTGAATTTTCAGCAATGAGCCTGTGTCTGGCCTCTGATCAGAAGACAGGAGACTAATAACGATTGTGAGGGTGGGGTACATGTAAATGATTGCGCCGTTCAAGGACCGTTCTGAATTCCAGCTGTGAGAACCTCGGACTGACCCCTCATTGACAGGCAGGGAAACTGAGGCTCGGGGAAGGAACTGTCCCGTCCAAGGCCACTCACCCCCCAGATTCCCCCGCACTGCTGCGGTCTGAGGGCTCGCTCCCATTCGTGGATCTGCGGTCAGAAGCACACAGGCGGTCAAGGGCAATCCGGAGAATTAGCACTCAGGAGCCAGGTAAGCTTCTTTGATGCCCCACACTGGCCCAGCGTGTAGGGCGGGAGCCCAAGTCCCCGTCACCAAGCAGTGTGAGAGCCAGCCCGCCCCCCGTGCTCCTTGCCACCTCCCCCTGCCCAGCGCAGACCCAGTGCCGGCTCAGTGCTCACCAGCCCCGCGGGCTCAGACGTTTTAGCGCCTGTTCGCCTGCTGGTCAGCCTGGGGTAAGCCCTGCCCCTCTCTGGGCTCCAGTCCCTTCCCCACCCCCCAAGCCAGGCCCCCCCCAGGCTCTGTCTGCTCAGGGGCACCTCAGAGGTCCAGGCCTGGGGCTGGCGCTTGCCTTCGGGGAGGCATCCCCGGGGCCTCCCAGGGGGTGACCTCTCACAAGGCGTGGAAGGCTGGCCGAGGCCGTCCAAATGGACAGATCGTTTATTGTTGTTATTATCTACTACTTAATGAAGGAAATCATACCGTATTTGACCTTCTCCCTCTGACTTATTTCACAACACATAGGGACAGAGATTGGATTGGTGGTTACCAGAGGGGAAGGGGGGAGGGAGGAGGGTGAAAGGGATAATTTGGCACATGTGTGTGGTGATGGGTTGTAATTAGTATTTGGGTGGTGAACATGATGTAACCTATGCAGAAATAGAAGTATAATGATGTACACCTGAAATTTATACAATGTTATAAACCAATGTTACTGCAATAAACAAAACAAAACAAAACAAAAAAAACAAATGGACAGATCGGAGAGACCTGGGGTTCCCGTTTCACAGAAGGGGGACTGAGGCCTGGAGGAAGGGTCTGCCCCTAGCCACACAGCTCGTTCCAGACCTTCTCCCCAAGGCCCGGCCCTGGGGCCTGGCTGTCTGGCTCTCTGTGCCTCTCAGCTTTCCCACCTGACCGTGGTGTGCTACCCCCCTCCGACCAGGGCTGAAGGAAAGACGTGGTGTCCAGCGTGTGAGGCCGGTGGTCAGGGCCGGTAGGAGGGGCTTTGTGCCTGGCTGAAGGCGCGAGTCTGGGGACAGGGAGTGAGGAGAGGGTCTGCCCTGAGCCCCTCACTCCCTGCACCGATGCTGTGCCTCTCCAGGAGTCACCACAAGTGTCCATTGTCCCCATTTTACCGTGAGAAACTGAAGCTCGGGCCCTGAGTCACACATTTGCTAGGGGGCTGCCTTAGTCAGCTGCGGGGGATGGAAACCCAGCGTAAACCGGGGAGATGGCTGCTGGCAGCTCAGAGTTCTGAGGAGGGCCCTGTGGCCAGGGTCCCAGGGCAGGGGCACGGCCCTCCTGGCATCCAGCACCCATCCCAGGGACGCACTGGACCACGTGCTCCTGCCTGGACAGGGCGCCGCGGCGGCAGAGGCGCAGATGGTCCTGCAACAGACCCTGCTTAGAACAGCCACAGTCGTGTCTCCTGCTCGTAACTATGCCGTCCAAGAAGGCTCAGGCCTCTGCTCTGCTCCGCGGGGACGCTCTGCTGAGAGGGCTCATCCCAGGTGTGGACGCCTGTCCCCGGGGCTGATTGAGCCTCCTCATGGCATGATACTGGCTTCCTGGAGCAAGCGTTTGGAAGACAGGAAGTGGAAGCTGCCTGCTTCTGGAGGCTGTGGCCCCAGTGTCACCTCTGCTGTATTCTCTCCATCACGCAGCTGTGGAGCTCAGGTTCAAGGAGCGCACAGACCTCACCTTTCAGTGGGAGGATCCTCAGCATATTGGAGTGCTACACGGGCCCAGGCACGGGGCCAGCTCCCAGCCTCTTCTTGGGTGTCTGCCCTGCCCCTTCCTCTGAGGTTTTGGGAGGACAGACGAGAGAAAGCTGTGGAGCTCTGGGCTAGGGCCACTCACCACGAATGGCCCCTCCCTGTCTCTGGGAGGTGGGTGCCTGGCAATGACTCCTATATTATTTTTCCTAGAAGTGGATGGGCTGCTCGGTTGTCAGCAGTTTTCTGATTCCCCTTCCGGGGCAGATGTTGTTTTGGGGGCGTAACTTGCTCTCAGTTTTGATACGGCACAGGGATGCCGAGCGCCCATCTGGGACGGAGATGCACGGGCGGGTGGGGAGTGCTGCGGCAGAGCTGGAGCGCTGAAGAGCAGGCTCCCGGGGCAGGCCTGGCCCTGGAGGGAAAAGGGGGGTCCTGCCCTCTCAGGGATGTGCCAGCCTCGATTCCGGTGGAGACATAGGGCCAAGGAAAGATGTTTTGGGGGGTGTAGGCTGGTCCCTGCAGATGGTGGCTGCGGGTGGGCGGGCAGCACTGAGCAGGAGACCTGACTGCGCATGAACTTTATTCTCAGGAGGCTGCTTCAGGTGAAGTCAGAGATGGTCTCCTCCTGCCTCTGTTTGCCCATCCTGTTTGTGCCCCCTGAGAGGCCCTTCCTTCTGGCTCCAGCACGGCCACCCAAGAGTGGCAGCACCGGCTCGCTCCACCCCCCATCGCGGGGAGCCATCCTGTTCCATTCTGGCCGAGGGAGCACGCGTGCTCTCTGCGGGCCCTGGGTCCGTGCTGCAGGAGGCCGAGGTAGAGTCTCTTCCCTGCATACCTTCCCCTTCCAGGGTCTCGGGGCCAGGTGACCCATTGCAGCTGCCAGCTCTTCTCCTTGGCAGGAAGTGCCCTGGCACGGCCTCATGTCTGCCACCCTGCTAGTCCAGCTTGGGGCAATTGGGAGGGTGGGACAGGGCTGAGGGAGCAGCATGGGTGTGCCACCGTCCCCAGGGACCCCGGGATGCTCCCTGCAGGGGGCTGGGCACACCTGGGCTTCAAGGGGAGGAACCCACAGGCTGTGGGGGCCATGGGACACACCTTCCCAGGGCACAGGGCCTCCATCAGAGCTTCGCACCTGTGAGCAGGGCACCCAGCCCAGGGTCCATCGGGTCAGCGGGGCGGGCCGAGAGGGCCCTGTGACCAGAGGATAGGGGAGGCTGGCTTTCCAGGATGGAATGTGCAGAATGTGGGGTGGACGCCTGGCTGCTGCCCACAATCTGCCCCAGCCCCGCCCAGCTCCTCCGGCCTTCAGTTTTCTCCCTCGTAAATGGGGAAGCAGAGCAGAGAGGGAGCAGATGTGAGAGGGAGCAGCCTGGCTTCTTGTCACAGCTGGCTGCCTCAGGACCACCTGGAGCCCTCTGGACATCCTGGAGCCCCGCAGGACCACCTGGAGCCCCTCAGAACCACCTGGAACCGTGCGGGACCACCTGGAACCCCGCAGGACCGCCTGGAACCCCTCGGGACCGCCTGGAGCCCCTGGGGACCGCCTGGAGCCCCTGGGGACCACCTGGAGCCCCTCGGGACCACATGGAGCCTCTCGGGACCACATGGAGCCTCTCGGGACCACCTGGAACTCCATGGGACCACCTGGAGCCCCTTGGGAACAGTGACTGCCTCGTCCAGGGGAGAGACAGAGATGCTGAAGTGAAAGGTGGATGAGCCTGGACCGAATGCCTGCCCCGTGCCAGGTGCTGCCCACGTGGACTTGCTCCCGGCGCACACAGGCCCCCCTCCTCGGGTGCGCCAGGCAGCTGGGTGGGAACCAGGAAGCAGAGGGGCGGGGTCCCACCGGTGGAGGGCGTGAGGGTCTCTGGCGCTGTTCTGGGAGGCTCCCGTGACGCTTTTCTCCCCATGTCAGAAGGTGCAGGTGACCACTGGCTGACCCTGCCCACGGGGAGCCCCATAAGGAGGGTGGGGGTGCCTGAAGGAATGGGCCGTGGGGGTCCACAGTACAGCCACTCTGGATTGCCAGCTGGGCCTCCTGGAAGGACCTTCCAGAGGGAGCTCGTCCGCAGACACACTGCAGGAGCTCTGGGCCCCACGGCCAGGCTCTGGGGCTGGGGTGGGCCGGGGCTTCGGGGGCCAATCCTGCCACCTCCATGTGCACAGTGGCCACTGTCCCGGAGGGTGGGAATGGGCCAGCTGTGAGTTGTTCTCTGCCGGTGTTCTGGGGCATGGTGGCCCCTCCATGTCTCAGTGTGTGGTCTCTGCCATGGGACCAGATGTCTGAGGAAGGACTTGCCCTGTGTTTCTGAGACCCCAGACCTTCGGGGAAGCAGGAGAGCACTAGGCCTTTACGACCCCAGGCAGCCACTGCCCTCTCTGAGCCTCTATTTCCCCCTCTGTAAAATGAGAATTTCAGGGGGCCGGCCCAGTAGTGTAGTGGTTAGGTTCTGTGTACTCTGCTTTGGCCGCCCACGGTTCGTGGGTTCGGATCCCGGGCACAGACCTACACCACTCATCAAGCCACGCTGTGGTGGCATCCCACATACAAAAAATGAAGGAAGGTTGGCACGGATGTTAGCTCAGGGCCAATCTTCCTCAGGACAAAAAAAAAAAAGAGAGAATTCCAGACCCAAAGTGCTCAGGAGCCGCATGGCAAGAAAGGAATCCCTAAGCCTTCGCCAAGGCTCCTGCACCTGCGCTGTGCCAGGCTTTGTTCTGGGAGCTGCATCCTGCCCTCAGAGCTTCCATTCTGGATGGAGAGACAGAGGACAGACACGCCACAAAGAGTAGAGAGACCTGGTGAGAGCTCTCTGCAGAGGTGCATCAGCAGAGTCTCCCAAAGTCCTGCAGAAAGACCCTGGGAGAAGGAGGAGCATGTGCAAAGGCCCTGAGGCAGGACAGATCTGGTGTGATCTGAAGGCCCAGTGGCTGGAGCCCTGTGACCTGGGTGGGGGAGCAGGAGAAAGTGAGGCTGAAGGTGTGTCAGGGCCAGAGGCTGCAAGGCATCACCCGACCCCCTGGTCCCAGGAATCCCAATGCCCGGAACACAGGAGGGGTGTGCCTGCTGCCCAAACAAATGGACGAAGGGTGACTCCCAGTTGCGTTCCTAACTTGCCGTGTGACCTCGGGCAAATGTATTCCCTCTCTGGGCCTGTTTCACCACCACTAAGATGCCCTCTGAGTCACAATTCTTTTCAGCGGGTGCCTGGGCTGGGCCCTGGCTGCAGCAGGCCCGCGTGCCCAGTGGCTCCTTCCTCTTCGCAGGACTGCAGGGAATGCGGCCAGCACCCCCTCTGGGCCTAGTGGGGACACATGTTCCCCAGGCAGGGTGGTCAGCAGGCCCTGAAACCCGTGGTGGGAGCCTGGGCTCCGACCACCAGCAGGAACCTCTGCCGAGGAGTGCCGTTCACTGGCCTCCCATTCCCCTTTCTCTCCTGCCCTCACCCCTGTGCAGACCCTGCTGCTCAGGTGTGCACCACACTCCAACCACAGCCCCTGTGCCCAGTACCAGGAATCACGGCCTGCAGACTGGGCAGGCAGCAGTCCTGGGGGCACAGAAGACCCCAGGCTCAGGCCTCAGACTCCTGCAGTGATCGGGCACCTCAGACCCTGTGCTGCTCCATCCGGCATTCTTCAGGACCCTAGAGACCCCAGGGGCTGCCTCCTGCCCAGCCCACCAGCCTCCCTTCTGCCCCTGCCCAGGGGATGGCCTCTGGGGCCTGTAGGGTGGGGGCTGGACTTGGGGAGGAGGTGGCGCAGGACGAGGAGGGAGGACGGCGGAGGGACTGAAGGCCAGCGTGCATTGGCCTCCACCCTCTGTGGATGGGCAGCAGAGCATGCCCAGTCCCCGGCTTCCGGGCAGGACGAGGGTGGATGGGGTGGGCAGTGTAGGGGTGGGAAGGAGCCTGCAGACACATGGTGTGGAGCCCCCAGGCGGGCAGCCTGCTTCTCACAGCCCTCCCTGGGGCGTCCAGAGGGAGCAGGACAGGCCAGATGCCGCCAGCTGGAGGGGTCCCTGGGGCAGACCTGCCTTCAGGGGCCACCCACCCAGTAATTTCAGACTCTAGAGTAGTTACTAACAGTTATCGGAATATTTCACAAGAACACCTGAGTTTCATCTCTCGAGAAGCTGGAAGCTCCGGCACACAGCCTGCTTGGGGACAGTTGGCAGGGGCTGCCCACATCGCCGCAGCCGCCAGCCTCTGGTGTGCCCATCGCAGAGGTCTGCGGCGGGACCTGCTGGGCCCCCAGGGCCATGTCTCCATCTCTGCCCTAACCAACCCCATTGCGTCCATCCGGATCTCAAGACCCTCAAGCCCACCCCGTGGTTCCCGCCTCCCGCAGCACTGCCAAAGGGGGCCTGTGGAGGCCTCAGGACCAGCCCCGCCTGCCCGGCTCCTCGCTGAGCCCCGCTGACCCCTGCGGGCTTTGGTGGCCCTGCTCTTGGTCTAGGCACCCTTCCTGCGACCCCTCCCCTGGGGCATCCTGGGGGGCTCCCGGGGGCCCCTTACCCCTACTGTGCCCCACTCCTCTTCCCTGCTTCTGTTCCTCCCAAACCCCGTTCCCTTCTCAGTGTCTCCCCTGGGCTCCACGTTGGGGGATGTCCTTCCCTCCGCATCCGCAGAGCCCAGCACCGTCTGAAACCGGCAGCAAGGGCATTTTTCCTGGTCCTGCTTCAGCCACAGCCCATGGGGACGCCTCCCTCCTCCACCCTCACAGCTGGCCCGGGACAGTCTCTGATGGATGAGAGGGAACATAATGTCCTGGTGGCCCCCAAGCTGCTGGGGGCAGGACGCCCACCTTGCCTGCCCTCAGGTGTGCCGAGGAAAGGACCCTCCTGAGGTCACTGCAGAAGCCTCCTGTGAGGGGGCCCCCAGGCTGGGGGGCGGGAGAGGAGAGGGCCAGGTCTGCCCTGGCACACAGAGAGCTCGCTGGGCGACCAAGTGTGAGGACCCTGGGTGGTGACCCCAGGTGATGACCCTGGGTGAGGGGTGCTCAGGGGCCCGGTCTCACTCCCGCAGACCCCAGCCGAGTGCCGCCATGCTCAGAGGGTCAGTTCTGGCTGCCTGCCCGGTCTGGAGCTGTGGGACTTGGGGGCCTCCTCTCTGTGACTGTTTCCTCGGCTGTCAAATGGGAACATCCTGGGGTTGTGGTGACACTGGAGTATTAGGGGGCAGAGTCGACCCCGAGGAGGAACCCCACTAGGCCTGACTGTATGTAGTGGGTGCTCAGTCAATGTGTGAGGCAGAGAGAGTGGACCTCGGGGGACCAGCGAGGAGGGGCCAGCTGGGCCTCAGGACCCTTCACTGCCTCTGCCACCTGCTGTCCCTGCCCCAGCCCCAGGGGCTCTGCTGTGTTCCTAGAGCAGGAGCCCGGCCAGGGCCTGGAGCCTCGGACAGGCCAGCCTCTCCCTCCTGCTGTGCCAGTTGCTTCGTCTCCCAGAGCCTGTTTCCTGGTGTGAGCTGGGGCACACCTTCTGCAGGGTGGTAAGCTCTCACAGATGGGACTGAGGCCCAGATAAACAGCAGGTATACGGGCCAGCCCTGGTGGCCTAGCGGTTAAGTTCAGTGCGCTGCACTTTGGCGGCCCAAATGCCTGGGTTCGGTTCCCAGGAGTGGACCTACACCATCAGCCATGCTGTGAACGTGTCCCACATACAAAATAGAGGAAGACTGGCACAGATGTTAGCTCAGGGCGAATCTTCCTCAGCAAAAAAAAATAAATAAACAAACAGCAGGTATATGGCTATGGCTATGGCAGCATCCAGGCACAGCCCCGTGAATGGGGGGGAGATGGCTCCTGCAGAAGCTTGCTTGGGCCCCGCCCCCACCTCACCAGAGACCAGTTGCCCGTTTCTGGCTCCCATGCTGGCATGCTGCAAGCCTGCCCACAGCTGGGCAGTGATAGGTGTCCCCATAGGATGCTGTGTGGACGTTAGAAGGACGGGGGTCCCGAAAGACTGGACACTCCTTGGTCATCAGTCCCTAATCCCTCTCCTCTCTCCCCAAAGGCCTTTGGGGCTCTCTTGCAAACAGCACCTCTCCCCCTACCCACCCTCACTCTCCTCACCTTCCTAAGTCTTTGTGAGAGCATCTCTGAGCCTGGCCCCACCTGCTACATGGGCACACACCCTGTCCACAGAGCAGGTCTCCAGGCACGGCACCTGGTCTGAGGCCCAGCCATCGGATGCCCCTGTGTCCTGTGGCCCCACGGGGGTGGGACTTGAACCCTGCAGGCCTGGGTTGGGGTCCAGAGCGTCGCTGCCAGCTGTGCCCCTCTGTCACCCTCGTCCTCCACCCAACCACCATTGGGCCCACCTGGGGGACGGCCTGAGGCTGTGCCCACCTGCTGGCTGCCGGCATTTATTTACGCAGACAAGCACTGCCTGCCGCCTGCCAGGGGAGACAGGCACAAGTCCCAGCCCCCACACGACCCCGGGGTGGGCCTCCCGTCAAGTCCTGCAGCGAGGTTATTCAGGAACCCCAAGTCCCGCAAGGATGGCCAGGCCCACAGCTCCCCACTCCCGGGGCGGCTCCGCACGGGCCAGAGGAGGGAGGTGGAGTCCGAGGGCCGGTCCCATTCAGCTCACTCGGTGTAGACAGCGTAGAGGTGTAGATGGGCGGGCAGCAGCGTGGAGGGCCAGCATGACCACACCGCCCAGGACGCTCCTTCTGCCCTCCAGAGCCGGGCGCCCACTCACGGCCACTCAGAAGGGATTTCCTTGACAGTCGCCCCGTACCCCACTCCAGCCCACTCCGCTGGGCTGTGGGCGGAGGCCAGGTTCTTCTCGGGAACGTGCTGGGTGCCCCTGGGCAGGTGGCTGCCCCTGTCTGGGCTTCAGTTTCCTCCCTTCTGAAGCGGAGGGACCCCCCGGGGCCACGTGCCCTGAGGCCTGTGGGCCCTCAGCAGCCCAGTGCCCTTCACGTCTGCACGTGGCCTCCGACGTCCCTCCCAGGTGAGCACGGGCCCCGCCACGGCGGCCGGAGCCGCAGCCGAGACTCAGCTCAGGGGGCCCGGGGCTGCAGGGCCCCCCGGCTGGCCCGGGCCGAGTCCCCGAGGGCGGCCGCGCTCAGGGCCTCCAGCCACTGCTGCTGCAGCTCCGCGGACGGGGCACTCAGGAGCAAGGACTGCTGGGCCTGCTGCAGCCGCCACACGTGCCGGGCGTCCAGCTTCTCCGCGGGGTCGGGCACGCTCACCGTGCAGCCAGAGAGGGGGACGGCTCGGGGCAGGCGGCCAGCCTGCAGCAAAGGAGCGGAGGTCAGCACCGCGGCCTCTGGGGTCCTGGCATCGCTAACACCGTGTCCCGCGAGTGGGCAGCAGAGGGGTGATTCTGGGCAGCCGGGGAAACGGGAGCCCCAGGGTTATGTGAGCCGCCCTCCAAGCAGGGTCAGTCCCAGGCGGCGTGGCCCAGCCCCTCTGGGCACCACGGGCCTGAGGCTCGGGGCTTCTGGAGCGGGGCGGACCCCGTGGTGCGAGGCGGGTGGGGGACACACCTGGCTGCCTCCCTGCAGGTGCAGCACCAGCTCCAGGGGGTCTGACGTGGGGATGGTGGCCCACACCTCGCTCCAGGCCGAGCCGCCATCCGACACCCGCAGGGGGCCACAGAACAGGCTGGGCGGGGGGTCTGCAGAGGCCGGCTTCTGGGGACACAGAGGACAGGTCAGGGCAGGCGTCACTGTCGTGCGGCAGCACCAGGGCCGTGGCGCCCAGGATGGAGGTGGCGGGGGACAGACTGGATGGGGGCCTGGGCCAGCCTGACCCTCCCCAGAGTCACCGCAAGGCCACCTGGTAACGGGCTGGACCCTCCAGGGGAGTGAGACCACGGGGTCAGGACAGAAATAAAGAGAAAACTGGAAAAACGGAACAGCAGGAACCAGAGTGTGGCTCACAGGGGGAAGGGCTGAGTGTGAGTCAGCTGTACATGTGCACCACACACCACATACACACACGGACTTACACACATACACACACACCATGCGCTTACACACACTCACACATACACACACGCACTCACACACACCACACACTCACATACACACGCATTTACATACACCACAAATGCACACTTATACACGCACACACCATGCACTTACAGAAACAACACACGCTCACACGCACGCACTCACACACACCACACACTCACATACACACGCATTTACATACACCACAAATGCACACTTATACACGCACACACCATGCACTTACAGAAACAACACACGCTCACACGCACGCACTCACACACACCACACACTCACATACACACGCATTTACATACACCACAAATGCACACTTATACACGCACACACCATGCACTTACAGAAACAACACACGCTCACACGCACGCACTCACACACACCACACACTCACATACACACGCATTTACGCACACCAAACACACACTTACACATGCACACACCATGCACTTACAGAAACAACACACCCTCATACACACACATGCACTCACACACACCACACACACACGCATTTATGCACACCACAAGCGCACACCTCTGCACACCATGCAGTTACAGACACAACACACCCTCACACACACACACACACCTCTGCCCTTTTTTTGGAAGCCCCATTCTCTCTTTTCCAGCTTTCCTGTCACCCCTCAAATGGGGACTGTGCCCTTGAAGGAGGGCTGGGAAGGCAGTGGCCACCTTCAGCAGGGCAGGAGGCTAGGAGGGGGCTGGTGCTCCCGCCACCCGCAGGGCTCGGTGAGGCACGGGCAGCGTCTCCCCTCAGCGAGGCCTCCAGGCCTCCAGCTGGGGTGACCATGCGTGAAGGGGACACTTGCTCCCTTCTGCTGTGGGCTGAACTGTGTGCCCCCAAATTCATGTGTTGAAGCCCCAACACCCCCATGTGACTGGACTTGGAGATGGTTCTCTACGGAGGTGATTAAGGTAAAATGAGGCCATTAGGGTGGGTTCTAATGCAGTATGACTGGTGTCCTCATAAGAAGAGGAGATCAGAACACAGACACGCACAGAGGGACGACCGTGTGAGGACACAGGCCCAGGAGAGAGGCCTCAGGAGGAACCAGCCCTGCCCACAGCTTGATCTCTGACTTCCAGCCCCCAGGACTGTGAGATAATCAATTTCTGCTGCTTAAGCCGCCCTATCTGTGGTGTTTGGTACACAGCCTGAGCTGACTGATGCACCTTCTAACTCCCGGGTGCAAACGGTTCCCAAGCCCTCGGCTGTGACCAGATCACGAGGCCCAACCTGCACACACGTGATATTCGGTGTTGGGTTGAGCCCCGTCAGTCCTGGTCCCAGGGAAGACAACAGCTCTGGGAGCACCGTCTGCTGAGCCTGCTGGGGACGGGGGCTCGTGTCCCGGAGGCTCACGGGATCCGGCCCACCCACCTCCGTGCTCTGCTTGGGCTCCATGGGCTCCTCGGAGCTGGGGCTAGCAGGGGCCACCGGCTGAGTCAGGAAACACTGTCGGCAGACGCGGCTCTGCCTGCCATTCTCGGCCTTGAACTCGGAGCACTTCCCACAGATGACCTGAAAGACAGAGGGCACCTGTGACCCACCTCCCGGGACAGAAGACTGTCCACCAGGAAGAGGCTGGGAGGCTGCAGGGCCAGGAGAGACAGGACAGTGTGCGGAGGGGAAGGGCTTCTCCACAGGCTGTGGGGCCTGGAGCCTCGTCAAGGTGGGCCTCCGGGACCTGCCTCCTTGCCTGGAGGGTCCAGGGTGCAGGGGTCTGCGTGCACAGAAAGATGACCAGGAGGAGCCACCAAGCACGTGGAGGCCCGGACGCCGCCTCCTCCCGCCTGGTGTCCTCCGGCCTGGACTCACCGCCCCGCACAGCTTGCAGTGGTGCCTCCTCTTGGTGATGGAGTTGAAGGTTTCACCGCAGCTCCTGCAGCCATGCTTGTCCTTGTCCCGCCTGGTCTTAGAGGACCCTCTCCTGGGCTCGGGCTACGGGAGGAAACGGCTGCCGTCAGCTTCCAGCACGGGTGGACGGGCAGCTGCGTGACAGATGGCAATGCACACACCAGGCAGAGATCCAGACGTGCAGAAGGGGGTGAAGCAGGAGCCGCGTCGGCCACAGCCGCCTGCCCAGCCCGCTCCCCAGAGGCCGCCCTGCTGCCACGTGGGGTGAGCTCTAAGTGGATCTGGAACTCTACACCAGTGACTTAACCTGGTGTGACTGACAGGATGGCGCCCAGAGCTGGGCAGATGGCGGCTGAACTGCACAGACCCCCAGACGCTGGGACGGGACGGCGCCCGGCCTTCACCAGCCCAGAGCGTGGTGCTCGCTGTGCACTGGGCACTCGGGGGTGTGCACCAGCCCACCCCCACGCATGTGTGACAGGGCTCTCCGGCCCAGAGCGTGGAGGGGCTCCAGTCCCCTCTCCATCTCCTCCGACGCCGCCTGAACCTCCCACAAAGGAGGGCAGTGCTGAGTCGACCACAGAAACAACAGGAAGTCACGAACACCACACGGTTTGTGTTTATAGACCTGAGAGGAGCCTGAAGACAAGTCTAAGGACACTTTAAAACGCTTTAAGTTTAAACAAGCTGTTTTGTATAAGGTTTCTCAAAAAGATTTGCAAGAACCACATGGAACCCCTCAGAGGGAAGAGGAGTTGGCACATGGGGGCAGTGGGAGCAGGGTTTTCATTTTACTCTATCACTGTAGTTTCTTTAAAAAAAAGTATTTATGGGGCCGGCCCCATGCCGTAGTGGTTAAGTTTCCGTGCTCCGCTTGGGCGGCCAGGGTTCCCAGGTTTGGATCCCGGGCTCGGACCTATACCACTCGTCAGCCATGCTGTGGTGGCGTTCCACATACAAAATAGAGGAAGATTGGCACAGATGTTAGCTCAGGGCCAATCTTCCTCACCAGAAAAAAAAAAAAGTATTTATTCCTTTCATACTTAAACATGCTTAAAAAAATTTTTTTTTTAATCTAATGCTGTCCCAAACTCAGGAGCAGGTTGTATAAATGGCACACATGACATGTTGGGAGACTATTTAAAGGGGTCACGTTACGTTGCTAAGGGAAAAGAGCAAGTTGCAAAATCACGTTATACCAAAAAGGGTATTTACAAGCACAGAAAAAAGACTGGAAGGAAGCACATGCAGATGCCCCTATTGGCTGTTTGGGGCTGGGGTAAATTCTTATCTGACTCTCTTATCTAGATTTTCTCAATTCTTCTTTCTCACAAGAACAGTTGTGAAGAGAAAGAAAACCAATAAACATGCAGAAAGCAACCAGTCCCGCCCTCCTCATGCCCCCTCTCCCGTATTGCCCAGCTCCTGGGGACCAGGTCCCCTCTGCACTGTGGACAGTGGCTCGAGAGCTGGGCGTGGGGACCTGCATAGTCTGCTCCTGGCCGCCTGACCCTGGCCACAGCAACCCCAGTTGTGTCCAGGCCCCCAGCCCCACCTGGTGCAAGGGCTCGGGAGGTGAGGGGGAGGCAGGTGGGAGGGCGGGAGTGGGCACTGACGGGGCAGCATGGGGCTCGGGTGGGGGCTCAGCAGGGCGGCCCGGCCGAGCCTCGGTTTCCCCTGCCCTGCCCCTCATCAGCCGTGAGACCCTGGACGAGTCACTTCTCCCCAAACATCAGTTTCCTCATCTGTAAAGTGGGGTGAGGATCTGCTCCTGAGCCCTGCACCCCATCACCGCACATGAATCCTGCCTGGTTTTGCCCTTTTGTGTTACCCTGGCTCTTGTCCCCGGAAATGCCCCATCGTCGTGCGACGAAATCGCTTCCTGTGCTTTGAAACGCCCCGGCCCACCCACGTTTCCTCTCTGGGGGCTGGGGTCCCAACGGGGGCCCTGGTGGCTCCCTGTTGCTGGCACAGAAAACACAGCTGGTTCACCACAAACTTAAGAAGATTTTAAGAAATGCCAAAGATGCATATGGCCTTCCCCGGATGTGAGAGCTGGAATGGCCCCTGGAAGTGCTTATCTCAACCCCCCCTGCACAGATGGGGAAACGAGGCCCAGAGACGTTTTCTGTTTAAAAGAAAGACACTTAAAATAAGTTTAAAATTAGTATTTCTGAGCAAAATAAAATGAGACCTGGGATTTATTGTAAGATATTCCAGAAAAGAGAAGAGTGTGTGAGTGAGTCTGTGTGAGTGTGTGTGTGTGTGTGTGTGTGTGTGTGTGTGTGTGTGTGTTGGGGGATGACGGATGACACAGAAACAGCACAAAGTTGAAGTTGCTCCAGGCTCGGGGGAGGGTGGCTCCCTGTACTGTTACCTCTACTCGTGTGTGTCCAAAACTTCCATAATAAAAATTTGAACACAATAAGATAAAAATATGTTTACCATAAAGTCTGCAGGTTTGAGGAGAAAAAGATGCACTGGTTGGGGTTGGGGGGCCAGAAAGGGGGGCTCAGAGAGGGCTTGTGCATTGGAGGCTGTTACAGGCTGAACTATGTCCCCTAAAATTCATAGGTTGAAGTCCTGACCCCCAGCACCACAGAATGTGACTGTGTTTGGAGACAGGGCATTTAAAGATGTGATTAAGGTAAACTGAGGTCATACGCGTGGGCCCTAATCCCATATGACTGGTGTCCTTGTAAGAAGAGGAGATCAGGACACAGACACACAGAGGGACGGCCATGTGAGGACACAGGGAGGAGACGGCATCTACACGTGCAGGAGAGAGGCCTCAGGAGGAACCAGCCCCGCCCTCACCCTGATCTCTGACCTCCAGCCTCCAGAATGAGAGGGAATAAACGTCTGTGGTTTACATCACCTAGTCCATGGTGTTTTGTTACAGCCGCCTGAGCTCACTAATACTGACCTCTTGGGGCAAATTCTGGCCTGTGCTTCCCAGCTGTGTAGCCTTCGAGCACTGTCACCCCGAACCCCGGGCCCCGCACTGTGATGTCCGCACTGCCACCTGGCATGAGGAGCCCTGGTGACAGGAAGTCAGAGCCTCCTCCATCTCATGACCCCGGCCCTGTGGACACTGGGTGTAATACGGCCTCGGGCCCCTCTCAGTTCATCCCTTGTGGCTCAGGTCTACAGGGCCCTGCTCGCAGAGAACGGGCGTCCAGACCCGACTGGTAAAACTGATGCTCCCCATGGCCATGCACCCTCCCCAAGGCCACCCTGACACCCGGCCTCGGCCACCGGCCACAACGCAGCCCCGCACCCTGTGCCCCAGCTCTCTGCCCCACTCAGGGCTCCTTCCCTGGAGACCACCTCTCGGGACTCTTCCACGGACAGGAGCCACAGTGGGGGGGAGGGGGCGTGTGGCCCGGGAAGGGACGGAGAGGAGAGACGAGGGGGCCACGGCCATCCAGGGGTCTGCCGTGGCCCAGCAGCCCCCACCCTCCACTGACCTTCAGGGTGACCCCATGATCCCTGTTTTCCAGGTGAGGACGCTGACGGCCCGGGAGGTGGGAGCGGTCGGCACAGGGTAGCTGGACTTGCCTGTGAGCCCCGACATGTGCCTCGGGCCCAAGGCAGAGCCTCGGCTCTCAGGACCCTGCAGCCATGCTGCACGGCCGCCGAGAACATGGGGAGGCCGAGGGGGCTACTGACGACCGAGGGACGGGGGCAGGCAGAGGGCTGCAGGACCAGGGCCGACCCACGCAGGATGGAGGAGAGGCTGCAGTGGGACCAGGGTGTGTGGCCAAGAGCACGGCCCCGAAAGGCCAGCAGGAACTCCATCCCCACCAGAGGGACAGAGGGCAGTTCCCAGAGCAGGGCGGCTTGGGCTGGGGCTGGGGAGCGTCCCCCGCCGGCTTCCCTGGTCAGGCAAGTCTTCCCACAGAAGGACAGCAGCTGAGCTGAGCCAAGAGCTCTGACAGGGGTCCCGGCCAGGCACCAGCTCCCGGGGTGCTGAGGACGGTGGCCCACCCTCGATGTGGCTCCGGCAGGCCGCGGAGGTTCCTGACACCGAGGTCTGGTGGGATTGGGACGGGTCTTCCTGGCCGACTGACTCCCTTTTTGGATGAGGATATCAGACACGTCAACCAATGGAGGGGCTCAGACTTTCTGTCTGGATGTCGGGACATTGGGACATCGGAAAGGACGGGGCCAAGTCTTTCCAGGGAGGTGTACAATCGCGGCTTCTGTGGTAATGGGCTAGCGACTCCACTTAACGTGCCTGCACGTGCCAGTGTGGACCCGGGAGCAGGTCTGTGCCAGGGCTGGCCAGGCCCGTTTCATCTGGTGTTTTCTCTTCAGCAAATTCAGTTACACGGCAGGCAGGCAGGAGGAACGTTCAGCTAGAGTCAGGTCCCAAATGGCGGCCTTGACACCCAGCCACAGAGGATGGAGCCACACAGCTACACTGGGGTCCTACAGGGCATGGACGCAGGCCCCAGGTCTCAGGCCCTGCCCAGCCCCCTTCCCTCGCAGCGCCATCCCAGAGGGTGGGCGAAAGGTGTAAGGGCAGTGCCAGCTTTGTGCACCCCCAGCCCAGGTCAGAGTGTCGGAGGCGGGGCTCACTCAGCATTGTGCAGAGGTCCATGTGTCACCATGGTCAGCGGTCCCGGGAGGCCTTTTGGACTCTGACCCTTCTGTGATTCTGTGAAGAGCAACATGATTTTGCAGAATGGAGAAGGCCTTGGATGCTGCAAGGCCCCCTTGTGAAACTTCCTGGATTGGGTTTAGCTTCTCTTAGGAAAGAGGGGCGGCGGAGACTGTGCATCTGAGGACACCAGAGCTCAGGAAAGCAGACCAGCATGCCACGAGTGGGCTGACTTTGGCTCTCCAAACGTGCCAAGAAAAAGGTGAAGTCTAGTATATTGTAGCAAAGATCACTCTTCTTGGTGTCAGCATTAAAACCCACTTTGAGCACTGTCAGCCCATGACCAGGGAACCAGGCAAAGAAACCAGGTTACTGAGGATCCAGTCAACAACTAACATGGTCTGTCAGATGTTTTCCAGACAAGAAGAAGCTATATGTTTTGCAGAAACTGATGTCCCCGTTTTGCAGATGTTGCCATCTTGCAGAGAAACTCACCCATTTGCAGCAAGACCCCTGCAAAATGTTCCAGCTCCAAGCTTCCTTCAGTTACCCTAAACTCATCAGCATCTTAAATTCTCCTACTCTGGGAGGGTCCAACAGCCATTTTCAGATCATGCGACGTAGGTAGTAGCATGTTTACTGGCTACGCGTGCCCTGAATGTGCACAGTTGTTACACAGTTGTTACAAATAAACCTGTTATCCTCCACTCTCTTCTGTATACAGCCTCCACCAGCACCGGGCTCAGGGAGACACTGCTTTGGGAGCTATCGGTGGTGTTCTCCATTGCGTGTTCTCCATTGCGTGTGCAAGCAATAAACCTTCCCTTCTTCACCTACTTCTGCCTCGGGTGTGCTCTTCGGCTCCTCACTCACGAAGAGACGAACTCCTTGAGTTTGGTTACACGTCCACAAATGTCCACTGAGCACATCTCACACCCTGCATGGCTGGAGCTCCACACGCTGAGCTGCCCTGGGTCCACTAAGATCTCTGCTCTCGGGAGACACCGATGAGAAAAACGCGGCCAGGCCACGTGTGCCGGGGCGGAGCGGCGCGTCTGTTGCTGTTCATCGTGGGGCCCAGCCCCGGCTTGGGGTGGGTGAAGACAGGGACAAGGAGGCCTGACCTTGCACTGTGACCCGAGCATTCAGGAGGCAGGGGCCTGCAGAGCCCACGGAAGGCAAAGCCTTGGGCTGGAGAAGGCAAGGCAGCCTGTGTGTCCACCTGGCCAAGTGTGGCCATCACCGCCCAGTGAGTCTGCTGACACAGCCTGGCTGGGGCCAACCCCCACCCTGGGCTGAGGCCCTGAGCCTCATGGGTACCAGCATGGCCTGCAGGCACCCCACACAGCTTCCCTCTCATCTCCAGGCCCAGAGAGGGAGGGACTTGCCCACTCCACAAGTTAAAACATTCAAATGTGGCCTTCAGATCCCTTCCAGCTAGAACATTCTCTGATGGGGCACCGCCCACCCCATTCCTGCTCGTCTCTCCCTGCCTTGGCCTGGGGTCCTCCCTGGCTGGCCTCCCTGACCATGAGGCCTACAGCCACTTCCACTTCTGTGTCCCCCAGCCGACTGTGACTCTCCCCGAGGAGAGTGCACCCGACAAAGAAGGGGGTGGGGGGGGGAGACGGCATCTACACGTGCAGGAGAGAGGCCTCAGGAGGAACCAGCCCCGCCCTCACCCTGATCTCTGACCTCCAGCCTCCAGAATGAGAGGGAATAAACGTCTGTGGTTTACATCACCTAGTCCATGGTGTTTTGTTACAGCCGCCTGAGCTCACTAATACTGACCTCTTGGGGCAAATTCTGGCCTGTGCTTCCCAGCTGTG